TCCCGCAACTCATGTAAATATGAAGTGAAATTTAGTGAGGTGGCAATATTTTTGGTGGAAAGGAAAATGGGATCAAGCAGAAGGAAGTTTCTCACTAATCTTGCGAGGAGTAAAGGGTTCAGAATAGAGGATGTGTTAAGGTATGTATTTTCTCCAGTAATAATTTGGAATTTACTAAGCTAAGCATAAAATAATATTCTTTTCATCTTATTTTTAAAAAAGTATATTTGATTTCAAATAAGAATTGTAATGTAAATCACAGAGGTTCCTTGTGTTTGATGAAAAAGATCAGACCACTATTAATGATTACATGTCATGAACCTGTTAGAAAATAGAAGAAATTCAGTGTCAGAATTGATAAGAATTGACCATGAGAAGCGGACTCAGAAATGTGATCTGATTTCGTGATGTTCACAGTTGTCATGAAAGTTATGTAAGGAATATGTGAAATCCAAAATAATACACACATTTTTTTTCAGTCTATTTGTATAGATACACTGTAACTCTAAAACAATGATGCTCCTACAACAACAACAACGAAAAATCTTTTAATTTCTTTCTGTAGACACATTCATTTGTTATAGTTTGCTAGAAAGGATATACTGTATATAAATATACACAGAATACATATTAATGTCAAAGTGAAGACAACATTAATGAATTCACCAGCTTCAATGTAAACTCTGCATGTTTGAATAAAAAGTCTCTATTGTGTGAGTCTAGGTTGGCACATTATAAAGTTTCACCAAGTTATTGGGCACAGCTGCAGCTCAGGTACCAGTGGGAGTTGCAATAAAACTGGTGTAACTGTTGTCAGCTCAATTACGATGGCATCATTCCCAGATCTGCAGCTTGCAGGTTTATACAGTTACACCGTTTTTTGATACATGTTTGAAATAAACCACAGGAAATAGATTTCAAGCACCTCAAACTGAACTTTCGTACCGGAATATTTACTGTATGACTTGCAGTGCCATAAACAGTGTACAACAAACAAAGCTAGTTCTCTTCTGAAAATAAAGCTATTAACAAATTAATATAATCTCTAAAATATCAGAAGTTTTAAATCAGCTCATGGATGGTAATCTTTCAGTTAAATTATTAAAATGAATTTAATTTTAATTATTTTGTTTTCATTGAAACAACTTAGATCACAGTGCCATGTGATGGTTTCTTTAAGTTCTCTTCTGTTTCACAAGTTTAGGATAGCTGTGGTCAATGTCTTCCTCTGAAAAAGCTATTTTAGCCTTTTATTTATATGTTTGTTTTATTCTTTAGCTGGTTATATAATGAGTGCAGTGATTACAAGGTGTGAGTAAATAACAAAACACTAGGGAAAAATTCTGAATGTGAAAAAACATCTCACCTGCCAGGGCTCACCCCTGTTTCTCTATTTCAGATGAGTCAAATGGTCTGAAATCTGTAGAGATAACCTGTGGGTTTAAAAAGAAAAATCTAAATGTCACTGGAGGTAACCAAACTGGCTTGCTCCTTGATACTTATTTTTCCGCTGCAACCTGTACCAAGCAGTGTTTTAATCTTAACATATTTTATTCGGTGACGATATAAAGCTGAAGTATGGCAAGAAAAACAAGGGCATTTGTGATGACAGCTTATAATAAACGTTTTCATAGGGCCTTTAAAGTAGGATCTCAAAGCGCTCTACAGTAGGTGTTTAAAAAAAACAGTTGGAAGGATAGCAAATTACAAATTTTAAGGATATAAGAAACACAGGCAGTTAGAGGTGCAGCAAGAGATACTAGGTCATTAGAAAATGACACAGACGCAAATTAAATAAAATAATTTCTGGAAAAAAAGGATTTGCATGTAGAATTAAACCCACTCAGGGAATTGAATTGATATCCTTGAGGGACAGAAATCCGGAGCATTGGGGGGGAACAAGAGAAAGCCCTGTTAACCATAGAATGTAAACTGGCTTTGGGGATAGATAGAAGGCCAGAGGCAGATGAACAAAGGTTGCGAGGTGGGGAGTAGACCGATAATACGGCAGAAAAGTACTGAGCAATGTAGAGCAAAGCCATGTAGAGCCTTAAAGGTGAGCATTAAGATTCGTGAGCATTAAGAAGGCGACACAAAACCTCATAGGAAGCCAGTGCAGGAACTGCAAGACATACCCAAAGTAATCGCTTGCGTGCGACCTGGTCAGAATTCTAGCTGCCGAATTCAGAATTTATTCAGTGTGGATTTAGATACCCCAGAGAGATTCAGTCATCAATTCTAGATGACACAAATGTGTTCTGTGTGTTAATACAAGGACTTGTTTTTGTTTTTACTGATCCTCATTCATGACTCAGTGATCAGGAGAACATTTAGGTAAATGTGTTTATTAGGGCAATATTTTCAATCATTGATGTTTGACCTCGTCAGGACTCCATGTCTGACTTCTGTGTAGGAGTGGTTATTAAATTATTCCTCTTTAGCTTACAGCTCTGTTGATATTCTGTTTGTTGATTTCTGTAGATGAACTGCAGTGTCCTAGAACACGGCATCACCTTAAATGCATTAAATGAAATGTAGGGGTTTCAAGTATGTTTATAATACAAACTGCAATCCTTAACTGTACAAAGTGTCACAGGCAGGCACAGGGTTCAGGGTAAAACTACATTTCAGAGAGGCCACATACAACCATTTTAACTCACACACACATTAACAAACACACATTGATTCACACATGCATGCCCTCAAACATTGTCTTTTGGGTGGGAATTTAGAGACGATATGTCTTTGGACTATGGAAGGAAACTGGAGCACAATATGGCAAGAACATACATATTTCTTACAGAAGGTGCCTGAAATTGGAATTGAACTCAGGAACCAAAAGCTGGGAGAGAGTGGTGCTAACCTCCAGGCATCCTTATTGTGATCCCAAATGAAGCAAAACAAATAAATACAGTATCAGTGCTTCTGTTGCTCCTTATAAAATTGTGTGAATACAGTCCACAGTCATCCCTGCTTCACTGCTCAAGCATAAAAATCTTCAAAAGCAGAATGCAGTGGAAATGCTGTTACTGTTTCATTAAACAGTGCTAAGAATAAATAACCCATACAGGAATATAACAATGTGTGGCACGCGAGTAAGATTTAAAGATCAATCATCTAGTAGGTGTTGAAACTGCACTGCAGATAAATGACTTCATCAGTTCATGAAGTGATTTCTGGCTCTGACATGTGCTGCATACTTAAAACTTCCAGGACAAAACATAACCACAGAGGCTTTCAACTATTTTTATACACTAGAAATATATTCATTATCACTCCTAATAACAAACACTTAAAAATAACATTGTTCAACTACTTCCTGTCTGAAACCTTCACGGCTGATTTCTGCAATGTTTGGCAACAATTTCCTGAAAACCTGTGGACAGTATATTTCTAGAATGCAGAAGCATCAATAATAGCTTTTGTTTTACATTAGTTCTTTTTTTTCCAGTTAGCATCTTGACAATGTATTCAGAACCTTGTTACAGTGTCTCATTTTGTGAAACCTGTGAAAAAGGTGCATTTTTAAGCTTTATATATTAAAAACCTGAATGCTAAAATTAAAGACTTCTGAGGGTGATACATGTTACAGTAAATGTAAGCAAAACTTGAATTAAAAACTGAAGTGTGTTGAATGCATAAATATTTAGAATCATGAACTCAAAATTTGGAGGACACATCTTTAACACCAAATATAACCACAAAGCTTTTTGGGTACATCTCTATGAACTTTGGACAATTGTGTGATGCATACTTTGCAGATTTCTTCTTAGCAGTTTGTTCAAGCTCTCTCAGCTCTCTTTTGGGTAGCTTACAGACAGCGGTTTTCAAGTCTTTCCATAGATTGTGAGTAGGATTTAAGTCAGGGCTTTGACTGGGTCACTCAGGGATATCCACTTTCTAATTCTCAAGCCAGGTACAAGCTTTGGCCTTGTGCTTTGTACCATTGTTCTGCTGAAAGGTGAATTTTTATTTCTTTAACAGACTGAAACAGGATTTCAGTCCTTGCTGAGGAGAAAAATCCCCATAGCATAAAGCTACTACCACCATGTCTGACAGTGGAGATAATGTTAATTGGCAGATGTGCTGTGTTGACCAAAAAGTTACAATTTTGTCTCATCTGACAACAAAATCTTTTGCCACATCTCTCAGTATAACTAACCCATAACTGCTTAAAAGCGTGTCAAAACACACTGTGAGCTGAGAGTAATGATGATGTTTTGTCTGTCCATCATAATTGGTACTATAATTAAACCCTGCAACACGAACCTGTGCTATCTTCTCCAACTGTCAGAAAAGGTTTACTGTCCTTTATTGTCTGTTGGTGAGAAAATACAAGGAAATCGTTTTCCAGTTTTGCTTAGCTCGCTATAATGCCTCTGTAAAGCTGACACCATTGAAACATAATTAGTGCACATATCGAGTTCACCAGAACATACTCTTCCAATGTTAAACTAAGGGTTTTCACGGTTTTCCTATAAAATTCAAAAACCCAGATTTTTTAACTGTTCCTCTTTCTCCTTGTTTTGATATCTTTGTGCTTTCTCCCAAAACCTCTTTTGGGAGGAAAATGTGTTGGTGGGTTTTGATCACAGGAAGATCCTAGGCTTTAATAAACCCTTACACTGAGCTTTAAAAGCAATCCAATCAATGATTCTGTTTAGAAATGCTGAAGCTGAGGCTTCAGAGGGGTTTCCAATTAAAATTCTCCATTGTGATTTTCTACAGCAAGCTATTTCTAATTTTGTGCACTGCAGAGACTGTTCAAAGAATTGGTTAGCATCATTGTTCATTGAAATGCATCTTGGTGGATCAGTTTTTAACCTTTTTCGCTTTTAACTTAGCAAATTTTAAGGTGCATCATTTTATGACAATGAAATCTATCTAACAAAGTGCCTGAGCAATGAATGCTTTTGGGGGTGATGGTGGCATGTGTCTGATGAACCAATTAATATTTTTTCATGTTGTCATATTTTTAATATTTTCCCTCTTATGTCCAGTGATGCTGTCACCCACGTTGTAGCAGAGGACAATTCTGCTGATGAACTTTGGCAGTGGCTTCAGAACAGCAGTCTGGGGGATCTGTCCAAAATAGAGGTGTTGGACATCTCCTGGTTTACTGAGTGCATGGGAGCTGGGAAGCCGGTTCAGGTTGAAGCCAGGCATTGCCTTGTAGTAAGTACAGTATATATTCTACGTGACCTTGGCTCTCACCAGGAAGTTTTGTGACAGACAATAGACACTAGGTGGTGCTATAAGCCAATAGGGATGTAACAGTGTCTGAAAAAAAGTATTGAATTTGCCCATAAAACCCTCTTGGTATACAGTTTGAAATGACTTAGATTGTGAACAAATGCAATTCATTGTACTGTGCTCTAGAGAACGTATAATCATGAAGTGTGATTTTAATTTTTTATATTAGACCATGTACTTTGGTTCTAATAGTTTTAAAACTATTAACTTAAATTAAATATAAACCTCATTCATACATTTAAAAGCGTCTTTCCAAATGCAGAGAGGACCCCACAGTTAAACAGTGTTGTCCAATACAGATCAGAAACACAGGTTATGTTCCTTATTGCACATAGAAAAATCGAATTGATAACAAAACAATGGAACTGAGCATTCACATAAAAAGAAAACCTTATAGAAAAGTCAATATTATTTCTTAATTACAGCATCTTTAAAAAAACAGAAAATAATAAAAATAAAATGTAAGAACATGTATTGTGTGTACTGAACAGCTCATGGTAACCTTTTGTGAAAAATCAATTGAATTTTAATGAAAGCTACAACAGAAGAAATGCTGAAAGAAAGAAATTAGTTTTATAGTATACAGTAGATAGAGTAGTAAAAATGAACATTCAGATGTGATGCAATTTTAAATTTAAAATCTTGCAGGTTCAATGAAGTATCTGAAGATACAATATCTAGCAGATAAATACATTGACTATTATTATGTATTGCAATTATATTTAAGACAATATAATATAGGAAAATGAGTATAAGCAAAATACAACAGCTTGCTTATTTCTTCCACAAGAACACTTTCAGTTAAAGATCAATGGTTGTTTCTTCTCCAAAACAACAAACAACAGAAGAAATTAAATGTTAGGGTTTCCTAGAAACCAAAGATTCAAGAAAAAGAATGTGAAGAAAAATGAAAGGTTATAAAATTGTTTTTTTTCTGTTGTATACAGAATTAATGTTTTCATTTCATCTTCACAGTCAATAAATACATCTGGGTGCTGGTTATGAGGACTATCCATCTTATCTTACGCGAGAAAACCCTCTAGTTCCCTTTATTGTGGAAATCTCGACATCTGTGGAAATGAATGTCTTTCACTGAGTGGAGTTGAAAGAAGAGTGTTGAAGTATTAATTTTGCTGGAACAAAAGAACCATCAACACATGTAATATTGTTTTTAAACATGCATAGTAGTGCATCTTTCAAGTTGTAGAAAATACTTTACATTATTTTTTATAGAAACAGAAACATGAAAATAAACCAGGTGCTTATTCGCCTGTATAAATTACTTTTCAATTATGTTTAATCATATATATAAAATTTTCTTTTCTGCTGCTATAGTAAATAGTAAAGCTGGCATTAACATTAGATATTTACTGTATATAAATTACATTTAGTAAAAGGTCATAAGGTTAAAAAGAATAAAACATTTAACATCAAAGTGTATGAGGAATATGTTACTTTTATATTTATTTCTCTGTTGGTGATTATTTAACTTCTATAGAACTTCTACAAATGGAATAAAAACCTTCACAAAGAGAGACAAAGTTCTGTAAATCACCACGCTATTGATGGAATGAGTATTATTAACCTTCTTGGTAATGAAAGAAGACCCCTCTGATGACAACACTGTCACAAATGGTGAATTTCAAAGACAGGCCTGTCAAACTGAAGTGATTTTACACAGGATGAAAAGAGAGAGAGAAAGAAACTCATTTTTATGACAAATTTAGCCTTCGAATGAAAATGATTTATAGAGAGTTCAGTCTTACTCTGGACACACAAGACTAACCCATGATGAGAGGCTGTGTTTCAGTGAAGTATGAGTACACTTTGGTGGCAAAGCACTGCACTGATCCCTTCTAACAAGTGAGATGAAAGGCCTATTTCACTTTAAGCTCAGTTCAATTTAAAAGTAATATATTGTAGCCTCTGAGAATAGAATCCTAATTTTTAAAAACTTTCCAGATGATCATCTTGACTAAGATGCACTGTATCTGTGAGTGCTTTGGTGTTTTGCTTTGGCTTTTTAAACACATCAGAATTATATTCACCATGTCTGTTAAGTACTCTTGACACCTTAGCTCCTCTTAAAACTTGAACCATCTCCTTTCTCGCTCTGCCCCGTGGTATATTGACCATTGCGTTCAATGAAGGCTCCAACAAACTAGAAGGTAATGTAGGTGATATTTTTTTGTCTTGAATGTTCATTTTCAGTCTTGGAAGCAGCACTTGACTGGATACAAGGATCCAATAGTGTCTCCTAGATCCATCTAATTCTCCCATATCATTGAGAACAACCAAAACAGCCCTAGATACCTGGTCTCCACCATCAAAAGACTGCTTAAGCCTTACTACATTCTCTGCTTCTTCCCTTTTGCATCACTTTCTTAGAATTTACTTTCAAGTTTGACAACATCCAACATTATATTCTTTCCACTACACATGTTAATACTACACCTCCTCCCTACATGACTATTTTTGCTGATTCCCTCTAGTGTCTCTCTTTCTTGACGCTGCATGCCTCAGAAAATTGGTATTGCACATGACCTTCACCACTTGTTTATTAGATCGCATTCCCACTGTTATTTCAATCCTGTTTTTCTGACCTATGACCTGTTGTCCTCAGCATACTAAACGAGTCTTTGAATAAACAGTACCAATGCCCTTTAAAACAGCTGCTGTTGCCCCTTTGCCAAAAAAAAATATGGGTCTGGAAAACCCAAACAATTTTCACCTTATATCCAACTTACCTTTTCTTGCTTAAATTTTAGAACATGCGGTTACTGTTCATTTAAATAACCATCTCATTGCAAATAATCTCTTTGAACCTTTCCATTTTGGTTTCAGACAATCACATAGCACAGAAACTGACCTGGTTAACGTCACTAATGGTCTTATGGCTGCTTTGTCTGGTTCTTTTTCTATCCTTATTTTCCTTGGCCTCAGTGCTGCTTACTTTCATAGCTTGAGACTGTGCTTGGAGTTCCTGACAGAGCTCTTAAGTGGTTAAGCTCTTATCTTATATTGCTGACATTTTTTCTCTCTTGGTGGTTTCAGTTCTGATGTTGGATTAGTTAAATCTGGTGTTCCTCATGGCTCAAACTGGGCCCCCATATTATTCAGCATTTACATGTTCCCACTTGGTCAGCTATTAAGATCACCTGGCAACTTTGTAAAACAAATGCTGTAACGCTGTATGTTGATGCCACTGCTTTTGAATTTCAATCTATAGTGAAGAACCTGAGATTGATATTTGATCCAGGCTTGACATTTAAGCCACATACAGTATGCAAAATATTGTAAAAACAAAATTCTTCCATCTCGGAACAATCTCCACACTACGTCCTATGTTGCCTCTGATCGTACCTGAAAAGCAGTTCAACACATTCATCTTCTCTAGAAATGATTAATGCAACACCCTCCTTGCTGAACAAACTTCAGCATGTCCAAAATGTCCGGTAGCATGTCCGATAGCATGGAAGTGTTCACATTCCTCCTGTTCACTAGTCCCGGAGTCCATGCACTGGCTTCCTATTAGGTTTTGTGACTTTAAAATCCCCCCCCAAAACTTTGAGGCTTTACATGGCTTGGCACCCCAGTACCTGTTTGAGTTATTATCTTCCTACTCCCCACCTTGCAACCTTCTTTTGTCTGACTCCGGTATCCTCTTTGTTCCCCAAGCTCGTTTACATACTATGGGTGGCAGGGCCTTCTCTTGCAAATGCCTTGTCTATCCCCAAGCATATCAGTGAGCATTTTCAAATCCAAACTCAAAACCTTTAACCATCTTCAGAAGGGCTTTAACTTCATTGATATCTATGCATGTTGTACGGCACTGAAAACCCAATGTTTTATATTCTACTAACATTTTTATAGTTTTTCTTTCTGTAAATAAAGCTAATTTTAGAGGTGCTACATAAAATAAAGTTTGAGTTGTTATTATTGTCATCATCTAGAATAAGGGTTTTTCTGGGCTGATGACATACAGTGTATGCATTCATCCATTTTAGAATCATTTTATACAATACAGGGTTGTGTGAGCTGGAACCTCTCCCAGCAAGCAACGGGCAAACTCCACACGAATAGCACCCCAGAGCTCTGCATGGAGTTTGTATCATCTCTCTGTGCTCGCATTGCCTTTCTCCCACAGTCCAAAAACTATCGGTAGGTTAATTGGCTTCTGGGCAAACAGGCTCTAGGTGTGAGTGTGTGCGTGTCTGTGTCTCTGTGTCTTACCTGGAATGGATTGATGTCCTATCCAAGATGTACCCTGTCTTGTACCTGTTGCTTGTTGGGATAGGCTCTGGCTCCCCCCTCCCCAACAGTGAATTGGAAAAAGCAGTTAGAAAATGGATAGATAAGACCTCTTAAGATCATATCTTAAAATCCAAGCTTATTATCAGGTTTTAACATTATTAATATTCAAGATCAAATGTTGATGATCCATGACAAAGAACAAATTTGTCTTCGGATAAAAATAGGCCAATTTGCAGAAGGATTTTAATTTGGGAAAAATAAGTAACTATTTGGAGAGTGACCGTCACAGAATGGTGAACAATAGCACTGTTCAAGCTTCAGTTACTGTCCTCAACAAGTAACAACTGGTTAAAAGGGGATTAACTAATCCTCATTCATTTCATCATACAAAAAACTTGCTCATTATTAACCTAAGCATTTTAACATAAATAATATTACTTTTTCAAAGTAATTAAAGCTCATCTCTTATATGATTCCGTGTAATAATAGTTCTCTTGAAATAGCATAAGTTTTTATGGAGTTTCTGAATGAAATAATGAGTGGGACAGCCTCTCCATAATTACCACAGACCATCTATAACACATTTAACAGACCAAATTGAAAATAATGCAAAATATTCACCAATCTTCTATAGCATTTTATAGAAGTAATCCTTTATTTGAAAGTTGCTGCATAATGGCTTCATAATCCCTTTATAACTGCTACATAAATCATTATAATCACACGCATAATGTGTTACAGGGACATGTGCAAATAACGTGATGTGTGCATAAGAGGTCATTACATTTATTTCAGCATTGCATGGAGCCGAGTGCTAGAAATGACACTGGAACAAATGTCATGATCTCTTATGCATCTCATCTGACTAAAACCCCTCCCTGAGCGACCTGAGTCCTACCTGGCCAGAGCATGCCAGTGTGAAAAGGATTTAAGAAACTGAATCACTAGTGTGTGGAATCTGTCAGTGCCAACAAATGGAATGCATCTACAAACCATTTTAGGTTTCTCACTCCTTCAGGGGGAACACAGTTGTAACCATCAACATCATGCAAGGATCCCTGTTTGGATCCTTTTTCTAAATTTGTTTTCTAAAGTTCGGCTTTTTCGGACAGAAGATATAAATCTGGTTGTGCTTTTAAGGGGTTTTTCTTGAGCATTCTTCTAAACACGTCCCCTTGAAGGTTTATCAAAGAAATATTAATTGCTATGCATACAATGCTAAAGTGTTAAAGATGGTCTTTTTTTGGCTGTGGAGAGCCTTCCTCTTTTGCATATATCAATGCATAATCTCATGAAACAAACATGACTACTGGAAGACACAGTACAGTACAATTTATTTTTTATATATTTTTATTTTTAGTAAACATTAGAAAAAAACCTCCTCTACTAGTAAAAGTCTTTTTACTAGTCTTTTTACTTGCTTTATTTTATTTCTTCCCTTTATTTTACTGAAATTTGATCATGTCTTGCAATAAGTTGTCTTTTTTATTAATGGCCTGTGTAATACTATAACAAACAGAAAAGGTTCTCTACTTCGCTCAAAAACTGTTTATTAAAGCATAGAAGAAAATGTTAGGTACTGTAATGCTTATCACTGAAAAATGTATAAAGTGTCTTCACACTTTTAATTGCTTAATTAAGGGCCAGAATGGGTGACAGCGTATTGTATTTGACCAGAATGAGGATTTAAAGTAGGAGTCCTTCAGACAGACCCAGAATGGGTATTTAGGATTTATCAACAAGTTTAAATCATAACAGGGTGGCATAGTGTAGAATTTGAGCTCATGACTTGTGGGTTCAAATCCCTACTTCAGACACTACGTTGTACCCTCGAGTGAGATACTTTACCCCAGTTGCTTCAGTTGGGCCAGCTATATTAATGGGGACCAGTATTGATGGGTATCACTGTGATGGACCAGTATCCTGTCTGAAGGCAGAGTCTTGTGTTCTGTAGCCTGCTTAACACTGCAGACACCAGGATGAGTGTTGTCCTCATGAGCCTGTTCTGTGGCTGTGGAATGGACCGTACCTTCTTTTTAAAGTATGTTAATATCACCTGTTCTCTATGTTTAGAAAAGCTGCCCTGTGATTGATCAGTACCTGGAACCCAGTACTGTGGAGACCGTATCTCAATATGCATGTCAGAGAAGAACCACAATGGAGAACCACAACCAAATATTCACGGTACTGGGAAGCTGTTTTTTTACAGATTAAACAAAATATATAAATGCAATTCTCTCTTTTATCATATTATGGTGCCCGATCACACTGTATAAAAATGACCCTTTAAAGATAATGTCAAAAGTGCATGAAAGTGGAGTGAGACAGAGAAATGTGTCTCAATTCACATAATTCACTATCTTTGAAAAACCCTCCAGAACATAGTGAACAAAAACAGTGCTGCATTCTTCAACAGAATGTCCGTCTGACTAAAGGCATTAACCTACAAATTAGTAGCATCTGCAGATATGCCATGATGAAAGAGTAACAGCTGAAACCAACATGAAATCTGGCAGGGGCTGGTTGTAGTGCACAAAGATGGTACAATTAGAAAACACTTGAGGTGAATTTGCACATAAACAATGATGGATTTTTACCAACGCCATCTGGGCAATGCAAGGCTGGAAAATAAGCTGGAAGAGAAGATTTCCAGATATTTAGAGGGCAAGTAAATAACAGATTTTGTGTACGCTGAATTAAAAGTCAATTTCATGTTATAAATTATGTTAGAGGTACATCAGTTTTCCATTATTGTGAACAGTAAAAGCTGTGTTATCAAAAATGAAGCGAAAGCAGAAGGAAAAAAAAAGCTTCCAAAAATAGCATTATGCATGGTTTATAATAAACAAATACATCTGTACATCAACATTTTGCTGAATTTACTTTATGTCACAATAAACAGGAGGAAAAGACATCTGACAACTGTAATAAATAATACAGATTGTACACAATAGTAATTTGGGTTCTTTAAGTGTGATATGCACATAAGAAGTGACAGCTTTTAGATTTCCTAGGAGAATTTTATGTTAACCTATATTTCAAGAAATGGACAAATGCTTTGTTTTCTGCTGCTGGCTCAGCACAGCAAGTATTCTTAACCCATTTAGTTATAAATCTTTGACGTTTGATTATAAATATACAAATGCAAGCCCTATTTGTAAATGAACCACTAATAAATTTCACCCATATTTAAGATGAATTAAATACACCTCAACTTGTAATCTGATATGACAAAAATCCTGAAGGTGTTTTGTCTTGAATGTAATGTGAATTATTAGATGCAAATAAAATAATTTGCATTCAGAAACTATAAATTAAGATTTCTTCAGAAAACACCAGACTATTTCCTGATGAGTGTTATTCTTAGTATACTATATATTTTTGTAGTTATGCTTAATTTGCAGAGAAATGATCAAATATATTGTGCATACTGCACATTCCTAGAGAGACAACAGAAATGTTACACTTCATTGTGTGAAATATAATTTCCTCCAATATATAAGAGTTTTAAACATTGACACTCTTTCCTCTGGAGCCATGTTAGTCGTTAGAATCCACAAGGCTGGAGGTCATGGATAAGATTGGACAAAAGAATATTGTGGTCAGTGTTCTTACAAAGACATTTAGCACTTAGTATTTCACATCAATGATTCCTCTTTCACTGCTTTTAAGATATCTGTCCTCTCCCTGTCAGAGTGCAGTTAATGTCTCCATAATATGAGTGGTACTGTGTCCTGAGACACAGCTCAAACAGGTTTATCACGATTGTTGATGGGAATGAAGTTCAAAATACTTTTCTTATCTGCCAACAGAGACTAGTTTGAAAACTTTTGCACTGTTGTGCTGTGAAGGCAAAATGCTTTATTTAGGACAATAATATAAGGGCAGTCCCTCATGGCTAGTGAACAATGTTCAATATCCTCTCAAAATGTTTGCCTCAGTGGTGAGGGGGTCAAAGCGGACATGCACAGATGTAAATTACAGTGGTGTTCTGCAGGTTCACTTCAATGCCTTGCAAGGTTCACTGCACCCTGAATTAACAGAGTTGCTGGCTGGAAATGGCCATCTCTCCTTCCTCTGTGTGCCCTGCCTGTGAACTCTGCTACTCAACGGCTCTTGGGGATTAACTAGACAGTAGGAAGTCGTCAAATCCGTGGTGTGGTTTACCATCCGTGCTGTAATACATGAATAAAAATAGAAAAGGGTAGTATTTTAATATAAGATAAATAGATAGTGTTCCCATATGAGCAAAAAAGCATAAATCAATGGAAAAACTATTATTATTATTACTATTCATAATAATAATAATAATAATAATAATATAATCAGTCCTGTGTTGCCAATTGGAGTGAAGTTTTTTTTTCTTACTCTTTATTCACACACACGCCAGGGTAGGCAACTTACAGATGGGCTCTGATGATGATGATCTCTATGATTCGATAGTTTTAAGTGGAATAACTAAGAAATACTGACTCCTTGAGTCAGTCTAGGCTTACACTTGCTTTGCACCCACCCATACATTCGTTTTTCTGTATTTATGGCAACTTTCCTTTGACTTGCATTTGATTTTTTTGTCCTTTACATTAGTACATATACAGTAATTTATTCCAAACCTTAAATGGATATTTGCCAATTTCATATTTAAAATTTTCTAGTAGTTACCATCTTTGTGGGGGCATTGTGGGACATTTTCTCAACTTTTGTTCTCAAATTTGTAGTAATATCTCCCCTCCACACACGTGCACAGATACTGTACAGTATGTTTCCAACTGCTTAATCCAATAAAGTGTTGTGGGAGAGCTGGAGCCTATCCTGACAAGCAATGGGCAGGGTACACTCTGTATGGAAAGACAGCCCGTCACAGTACACATACTGACACAGATATTCACACACTCACTCAGGGCCAGGTTTCCCAGAAGCAAATAAACCTCCCTTTGGATGTGGGAGGAAACCCAGGTATGCATGGGAGGAACATAAAAAACTCCAGGCAGAGAGCACTCCAGGCCCGGAATCAAACCCAGAGCCCCAGCACTGCAACACAGTGATGCTAACTACTGCACCACTGGGCCATCCTATGCAGACATGTTTTTCCATCTCCAGTTCCATTTATATTTATTAGTCTTGAATTCTATACCAGAATAAAATTCCACAGAGGGTTGAAATAGACACAAAACAAAATATTTTTGGTGATTTTAGATTGAAAGGAAAAAATAATTAAAGAACATACCACCTTTATATTGTGGGAAAATCCCCACTTTCTCAGATTTTATCCCCACATAAAGTTTATCTTTCCTACACAGATACCCACACACAAACATTGGGATTTTCCACTTTCATTCATCAAGCTAACATTTATTCAGTCCTTTTAATTCCCTGCTGACATCACTGACATTCTGTTAGGATAGTCTGGGGGCATAGCTGTGTGTTAATAAAATGCACAAAGAGTGCTTAGCTTTATTTTAATGATTTTTTTTTTACATAAATACTATACTTGCCTTAAGGTAACAATAAATACAAAATGTCACAAAGATAAGGTCGGTAATTTTGACGTCAGTAGCAAACTGGCACAGAAGTGAAAATCACACATGGTGAGGCACTCCCAGCTCCACAGAAGGGTGGGTTGAGGCAGGTAGTGCTGCGTGAGGAATGTGGCCTATTAATTCCTTGAAGTGTTTCATAAATTAGAAAAAGCTAAACTAAACTATTGTGCTCAAGATGGCTGGCATTTCAAAGAAACATCTGTGTTCCTCCAGTTTCCCAGTTTGTGACGGTGACAGTCACAAGGCTGGCTGATTTTTTGATGACGCGTGCAGAGACAATACGCACAGCAGTCCGGGGTCTTCCAAGTCCCCTGGGCTTTGCGTTTTTCTCCCTACACTGCTTCTGTTCTTAGATATTCCTCCTTGTGACCCTTCATGATTGCAGGGAGCCTACCTGACACTTTTTGGTGTCCCTTTCACTTATGTTAAACAGCTGGGTTGAAAGGGAAAAAGAAAATCCCATTTCCAATCAAGGAATGTTTGTTGTTGCTAATTTCTGACTCTGATAATGACTGGCAAATGAGCTCTGAGTGGCCTTCCTGACAAAAACCACCAAGATGATTTTTTTTTTAGTCAGTCTTCAGAGAGTGGAAATGCGACAGTTGCTGTCAAAGTATGACACCTTCTCAAACGGAGATCTCTACAGAGCACATCTACTGAAAGACAATTAATAATAGCACTAGAATGTGTGCTGTGGCAAATTAAGAATATCACAACTGTCCCATGGAACCTAGAACCATATGGTCTCTCTAACACTTAGAAGAAGAACACACCTGCTTATTGACAATAGAAGCATCCAAAACCCATGGCAGCCAATGGATACACAGCCTGTGATACAGATTTACAAAAGTCATCATTCCCGACATGGATCTGCTTCTAAATTTCATTGGTTTAATTTTAAAATAATTAAAGTTCCCCCGTCTCTTGACTGAAGTACCGAACAGCACTAAATTAAACATCTTTCTTTTCACTGCTCTCTGCACAGCAGGGTCTGAACCCTCCATACTCCCAATTAAAATAAAGCTGAAACAACTAATTAACTTGCTTTGTAACAATGGTGTGTGTGTGTGTGGGGGGGGCAGTGGTGGCTCTGAGGACTGAGATGTACTACTGCTAATCATGTGTTAACAATTGCCACTAAATGGGTCACCAGTTTTGCATATGTACTGTATATTTTGAAAGATTTGTATAGTCTCTTACCTGTCTATGGGATGGCTTCTGACATGTGTCTGCAACACAGGCAATGGAGTTTGTCCATGCTTTCTCCATGCAAGAAGACTAATGCCTCTGTTTTGCATCCCAGCTCTCATCTGACTTTTTTCTTTACTTTTGACTGTACATTATTTTCATATTAGGAGCTAAATAATTATTAATTGCTTTCCATCAGTTTTCAGAAACAAGTGCAAGAGATCGTTAAAGCTGTTTGAATGTTGGTCAAAGGAATAAACAGGATAAACCTATTAATTCTTGATTGATATATCTTTGCTTCATGAGATTACGTACAGTTAAATCTCATTTATTGTCCTTTAAGTTTTAAACTGAGTACTTTGACTTAGGCATACACATTTTCTGATTAGTATCTTCTTAATAATACCTTCTTAATAGGCCTGTTTTTGTTTTTAATACAAATGTTGAATATTGTCAAAAATATGGGCAGAGACCCAAAATTGGGTTTGAACAGTAACAGATTCATGCACATGATTTGACAATTTAAGTTTCCCTTCGAGCAAATTTAATTCCACTCTTGGTTTCAATTTTCTGAATACTGTGTGTGATTGTTTACAAACCGATTTGAAATAACATAGTACAGTTTTTATGTAATTATTAGAAAAATGTATATACAGGTATAGTGTACATTCATTTGTTTAACAAAATTCATTAATATTCTATTCAGTCTGCTAACTGGCAGTACTGCTAGATGCAGAACTACAATGCTCAGTTCAGTAACCCTATGATTTCTGTAACAGTCCAAATAGTACAGGCATAGAGCAGCAGTTCCTACATGCCTGGCTCTCCATCAAAATTCTGTGACAGACAGACATGCTGCCAAGTCTGAAGAAAGAAAATCTGAATAATGCATTTCAGACAGAAACATTCAAGTGTAAATAGTACAATATGTGGGTAATAACTGATTTTGATTTTCTTTTGTCACATTTAAATTGCTTGAAATACTCCTGCATCACCATCCAGTTTTAAGCAATGATAGTCTCCATCTTCTATTGGCATGAATAAGTGCAAAATAACACATTCCACCCCAACACTAAAAAATGAACTGTTGTTGCTTCTTCAATTCAAGAAACCCTTTCATTCAGTTTTCTGTCAAATGTTAGATTTGTTCTACTGCCTGTTGTGATGGGTCAGATGCTTTGAGATATGGCAAGTGAAGTTTGCACAAACTTCCCCGACGTATTTTTCCTGCAGGATGCATTTGCAATTCTGGCAGAAAACGCTGAGTTCAATGAGAGTGAAGGACCCTGTCTGGCATTCATGAGGGCAGCTTCTTTGCTGAAATCTCTGCCTCATGCGATCAGCTCTTCAAAAGACCTGGAAGGCCTGCCTTGTCTTGGAGACCAAACAAAAGCTGTCATTGAGGTAATATTCCAGTGATGTGTTTCCTAAGTGCCATCTCTTTTGACAGGTTTTCTGCTTTCTAGTCTGGGACCCTTCACATGGAAATACCTCAGGAGCACCCACCTGTCATCAGTAGTTTTGCTTGGGCTAGTTAAGACTCCTTATTCATACACAGAGGGGGGAAAAGCGATTGTACACTGTCAGAAAACATCATGGCATGTTTATGAAAGAATGTGCATTCATTGAAGCAGAGTTTCCTTCTTCACATACAGTACCTGCAATAAATATGTTCACTGATTAACCAAAAACAGAAACCTGACTGGTTTAAGACTTACCCCAATATGAAGTAACTCCTTCTTTCTGTGCTTTTTAAAAACAAGATCTTCATTTAGTGCTTAAAAAAAGTCAGGAAGAGTAGTGTTTCTGGTACACAGCATATTACCTTGATATTATAAACACAATGTTAGGTGCTGATGAATGGTCTTTTTTCTTCCTAACTTGTGGATGCTGTTTAATTCAGTGCTGAGAATTGAAAGCTCAACAGCAACAGTACAAAGAAAGAAAAATAAAAAAACATGATATACATAATATGCTGCAGAAGTTGTAAACAGCAGATTGTTGTGTGCCGTAGCGGAATGTTTCAGCAGCGCTGTCTCTGATGTGCACGTTGCTCCATGTGAGATGAGTGACATTTTATGCCTTTAGACGTGCAGAGTTTTCCCGTTCTCATCCCCTCTGCTGTGAAGGGAGCCCTGGGAGAAAACTGACAAGTGAATTTCCATCCAGCTGTGAGCGTCTATCCATTCAGACAGCCCATGGTGCGCGGCCTTGGTCTGTGAAAAAACCAGCAGCTCTGTTGCTCTGCTCTCTCGCCTCAAGATACATTATCCCCACATCCCATGGGAGCCTAGGCTGGGAGAGGGGGAACACAAAACAGAATGAAAAGATAAAAAAACTAATTAAAAACAGAAATGCAATCTTCATGCATAAGCATATTAAAAGTGGGCTCTGTATTTTCTCCTTATTCATGCTGGGGACTCATATTTCATTTGAAGGATTTGCAATTAAAATATTTTTAGAAATCACAGCACTTGTATTGAATTTCTTCACATCATAATTTCTATGGTGTTTGTTTTATGATAAATGTGAAATTATTGAGAACTAAATGTGAATTATTTCTGTCCTATTTGTGCCAATACTAAGTAACTTTAGACTGCAAAGAAAATGTTTAGATTTCCCAACTGCAGTGAGCATATCTTCTCCACTTAGTAAATGTGTATATAGTAAATATACATTGGATCTAATATTAAAGATAGCTCAAATATTACGATGTATTATTTTTACAACTTACAATATCTACTTTGATAACTGTTCTGACTTAGTTTGCACTGAAAAATATCACAAAATGTCAAATAGGCATCATTAAGTGAAAAAAATGAGTCAGCGTTGAAACAATATTACTTTTCGTGGTGTATTGGGGAATCAATATTTTTTTTCTTCCATAGGATATTCTTGAATATGGACAATGCTCTAAAGTTCAGGATGTATTATGTGATGATAGATACCAAACTATAAAGGTCAGTATGCTTCATGTGATATGAATCTTTCTTTCAGTTCCTAGTCCTTTTTAAAGTACAGTATATGGGAAAGAGAAGTGGGATCAAAAACTCAAAATGTATACAGTATGTATGAACATTACAGAAAGGGGCTTTAAATTAGATTGAGCAGTGATTGTCCTTCAGTGAAACATTTTCTTTGCTGTTTCTTATTAAGTATCTCTTAGGTCTAATTGACATAAAATGCAAAATAAAATTCAATATTTCATAATTTCTGCTTCCAATCTCTGTTATTCAGAAACCCTTGTAACGGGATAGCCTTCTTTAATATATTTTCATTTTAAAATAAAAAAACAGAGAAGCAGTAGATGTGTGTGGAAAGAGAGATTTTATAGTTATATTACATTTATGTATCAGGCAGTAGATCTGACACTAGGATGCAGAGTAATTTATTTAAGACTGAAATATTTTTGTTTTGTACACAAGCTTTAAAAGCAAAAGCTTAAAAAAGATTATCACTTTTTTAGAGAGATACCTGACCAGGTAATTAAATGGTAAAAAAGTAAGAGGATCAGAGAAACATTAACACAGGAAGGAACCAATATGCCCCTCTTATCAACAGAACAATACCTTTGTGATATCAATTCTGGAGTGTCCCATCAGGCAGACTTGCCAGGTCCTCCTTAGTAATGAATCAGAGCTGTTTTGAACCCCACTGATGGATGTCAGTGAGTGTAATGCAGAAGCACAGAGTGAGACGATCATTGTTGTGTACAACAGACCAGTCGATGTGGAGGTCCAAGTGTGATGGTCTGGGAAGGATTGTCAAGTTGCTACAGAGCTCCAATTGCAGTGATTGATGGCAGCTTGACTGCGTAGTGCTACATTGATCAAGTCCTGGCATCTTACTTGCTTCCCCTCCTGGAGGCTTATACTGAAGTGACAGCATGCATGCCTATGTTGTATCTGTTCAATAAAATGTCTGTGCAGCTCCAATAAAAAAAAACATTTTGTCATTTTCATGATAACCTTGTGAATTTGGTGCAGTCCTATATTATGAGATACTTTTTGTGGTCAGCATACCTATCCAAACATTTTGAAAGATATATGTAGGTACAGGTATTTTATAACTGGATTTCATAACATCTTTCTGTTTAGACAGTTTTTGATTGTCTACAGGTAAGAATACTGTACATGTGTCCAGAATTTTGCAACTGAAAAATTATATGTGCTTGAAAAAGTTACAGAAAAGTAGAAAGAAAGACGAAAAACATAATGTTTCAATATTGGAGACTTTTTTAGGTGTGGATGAAGACATGCTGATGCATTTCTTCTCTCAGACTTCATCACAGTCATATTTCCTGATTTTTATTCGATAAAGCTTTTTGTTTAGGATGGTAAGAAATTAAATGCCCATGTAAATGCATGTCTCTTGAATATATTCATTCCTGATTGTCATATTAGAAACAGTTTTTGGTTTTGTTCCACCCTACCCATTCCAAGCTAAAGCCTCCAGTGTTTCATTTTGTTCATTGCCTAAAAATTGATTTGTAATTATTTTTTTCTGCCACCAGCTGTTTACAAGTGTTTTTGGAGTTGGTCTGAAAACTGCAGAGAAATGGTACCGAAAAGGATTTCACTCGCTTGAGGAAGTTCAGGCTGACAACGCCATACATTTTACAAAAATGCAGAAAGCAGGTATTAATATGTAGGGAAATTTGTTTTTGTCTCTCATGATGGTTTCATTGGCTTTGAAGATATTGATGTCTGTGCCAATACAGTTCACTTATCAATATGGGTAAAGAACTAAAATGCTAATGTGAGATAGAAATGTTTCATTAATCTTGATTCTTATTTCAAACACCTGCGAAGCTTAAAAGCAATACTTTCTACAATTGCACTGAAACATTTAAACACTCAAAGTGACTCCTAGAAAAACAGAGCAAAAATAAGCAAAAATAAATTCAAAAAGATAAAATCAAATAATTTTAAATACAAGTGGATAGCTGACTAGTGACTGTGTTAATATGAATCCTTACAGTTTCAGTTTATCCGTTTTCAGTTTCAGTTTAGATATGAAAATAAGAAATAATCCAATCATTGTATTTCAGGATATTTACATGCTGAAACATACTACAAAGATTTTAAAAGTCAAAAACCAAATTAATTTTTCTTTTCATATTACCATTTGCTACACTTTGTTCAGACAAAGGTTTGAGAATCACAAAATACATTTTATAACCCTAGCTTCTGTGCTCAATTAAAACTGGTTGAAACAGACACCTATAGTCTTCTCTACATTGTGTTAAACAGAGCATTAATTTGAGATATTTTTATGCACCATCCATATCAAAGAATATGCAAATTCACTTTGTGGGATTATTATGTGAAAAGCTACAACACTTACATCTGTAGTGGAATAAGAGTAGGGAAAGTAGAGGAAAATATGGCTGTTATACACAAGAATCAGAAGAATCAGTTTCTTCATATAATGGGTACGCTTTGCAATAACAATTTTAAATGTCAATGGCAAAGCTTTAAATTCAATAATATAGTAAACAGAGAATGCTAATAGATTTATTTTGCTATTAAACTGTGGGCAAACATAGAAGGAGAATTTGTTTAAAGGGAACCAGAAGAGTTTTTATCACATATTAATCGGTAGCAAACATTAAATATGTTCATCCTCCTGCTACTGTATACAGCAAGGCAGTTTCATGGTCTGTAAGTCTCATTCAGCTCTTTTATTTTTAAGATGAGCTTATCAATTAAGGCTATGCTTTTAAACAAGATGAAACCTAAGAGATACCAGTAGCTTAAAACGTAATTATTTTATTGCAGAAAACACAGTTATGGAAAAACAAAACTGTAGCTCTATTTTAACAACACTTTGTGCATATAAATCTTTGAGGTTCAGATAATTACCTTTTCATTTTCTGCAGGAGCTAATAAAAATGTACTAACAGGGCCACAGATGACTGACTATACTGCAAACCCACACTTTATTGTCAGATCTAATATTGTAGTGAAACAGTAAGAGAACTGTCTTCATTTTCAAGCTTTCTCTCTTTTATGTGCATATTTCAGATAATATGGTCAGATATTGAATTCTAATAAAACCTCTCAGCATGTAATTCAGAGTCAATCAATGTCTTAAAAGTAACATTGGAGTGGAAGCAATCGTTATTTCGGAAATGGCTCATTTATTGTATTGGCAGTATTGGAAAGCCATAAGTAATGCATTTAGGAGCAAGAAAGCAGATCATAAGTCAAAAGAAATGAGTCTCAATGGAAAAAACATTATTATTGATAACCTATGGGAAGTCCCGTTACTAGTGTATTACTGTAAAGTATTTTCTTGTACAAAAAGTGATGTAGCACAGCTTTGTTGTTTTGAACTTGCACGTGATATTTTATGGTCAAAAAAGGTAGTGTTAGTATGTAGCTGGACCTGATGACAGAAAACTGAGAGACAGCAATTTGTTTTTGGCAGAATCTAACATTATTATCTCATATCTGTATTATGGTTATATGAATTGCTTTTATATACAGTATATAAAAAAGTTATTAGAATTGCTTTATGGAAATGCACATTCAGACTTATTAGACTTCCTTTTCCTGCTAAAGCATACTCACAGATGCTGTTATGGAAGAGCTGATTATTCCCCCAGTTGATTGAATTTACCTAAATTTATGAACAATATCTAACTTATGAAAAATTGTTTATAATTAACTCTTAAAGAATAGTGCAAAATGTTTAAATGAGAACAATACAATGGATTTTACTGTAATGTAATTATACAAGTATCTAAACAATAGTGTTTATAGGCAAAAATGGTTGTCTTTAATAAAAATAGAGGAATAATGTAGTATATCAAAAAGGAATTTTGTGCTAGTAGTAGGTACAGTGACAGGGGTCATGTTTTTTCTTGCATGGTGCTCTATGTTATCCTGAAACTTTGAGAAACACTTACTTATTTCTGATTCTGTGCTTCCCAATGAAAAAAAAAATATTTTAATTTACCTACAAAAACAGCCTTTGGGACTCTTCTAAAAGCTCTTGGATTTAACAAACCACATCTGTTTAACATAATAAAAATCACTCTTTAATTTGCTGAGATGATTTATATGGGCTTACTCCCTATATTGAAGACGTATACCTCATTCGAGGTTTATGTCTGGATAGGATATCTGAATCTGTAAAGAAAAACAGTAGGCTGCAGAATGTGATGCAGTCCTGTAAATGAAACATTAAACTGTGGTCTGGTCAATACTAAACATATTCAAGATCTTTTGCCAATTTGAAAAAAGCACAGCAACATATGATGATGATCAATTTCCACTGCTGAGATTAATTCAGAATAATGTCTATTTCTCACCATTTACTTCATCCGGCTATTCCCAGAATTGGGATTTTGGTCAGAATTTTCGTACATAACATCTGCTATGCCCCATTATACAACAGAGCAGATAAGTGCTGAGTGAATGCTGGATGGATAGGTTAATGAATGTTTTTATTTCTCCGCCTTCCACAGGTTTTCTGTACTATGATGATATTTCAGCTGCTGTCTGTAAAGCAGAAGCCCAAGCAATTGGACAGATTGTAGAAGAAACAGTTCGCTTGATTGCGCCAGATGCAATCGTGACTCTGACTGGTGGCTTTAGAAGGTAAAGTTCAAAGATATACAGACATTCAATATCTCATATGCAACACAACCAAAGAGTCATCTTAATAAGATGGTCAATGTCTGGCTTGTAATTATCAAAAGAAGAAAATTAAAGATAATAAATGCTGATCAGAGACTCGTACCTATTGGTCAACTGAAAGAGCTTTAGCATTCAACTCTGTGTGTGACTCCTGCTAGCAGTAAAACCAGCCTTTGAGTATTGGCTCATGGGCTGACTAAGCATTTAAATGAATATCTGGAGTATCCTGCTCTGCTTCTAGACAAGTGAAATCCTTAAATGTAATGTACACATCCTCAGTGTACTGGTCAAACAAGTAGAAAGTTGCACAAAAGTAGAAAAGGCTGACATTTAATATTCCTATAGGCCTTATATACTGTATAATGTATTTTGGGTTTTTGGAGTCAGCCTTAGAATCATGTAACCATCTCCCAAATGAACAATAATGCCATTCTGATTTGTTTGTATTTTATTGTGCAAAATGTACAGTATCAGATCATTTCAAAAGCTAGTGGTGTGAACCATCGTGGGGTTTGGGCTACAATGGGTTGAATATGAAACATGCAGGTCTGGATCCATCATCTCATTTTCTGCACTGTGACTCAAAAAAACATTTGAGTTGGTATCAGCTAAGTTAAAACTGTATCCGAAATAAATACCTAAGCATTAGGAAACCCAGATTATTTCTGTTAAAAGTCATCCATCCATCCATTTTCTAACTACTTTATCCAATACAGGGTCACAAAGGCACTGGCAAGGCACCAGTCCATCACAGGGCACACACAGATACAGACACTCACTCTGTCTGGGAACAGAACCTTGGGCCCTAGCACTACAAAGCAGCAATGCTATCCACTGTAGCACCATGTCTCTGTGCTGCCCTGCTAAGAGTCATTCTTTTGGAAAAGTTTAAAATCCTATTACTTCCACCAAACACCATGGATCATCATTTTAAAGAACTGTCAGTAGGAGGAATGAGTCTGGACACGTCAAGACACTGATTATTCATCCACTAGGAATACTGTTATTTTCATCTTTATCTTGTACGGTTCTTAGCAAGTCCAGAGTAATTACAAACTGTGTTTGTCTGTAGAAGCCATCTGAGAGCTTTCCTGAAAACTCTCCAGCTTGATGATACAGTACCACCCCAAAGATATGGGTAACGGGTAGTTCTTACACTATAGACTTTTGTCAGTATAAAAACACAAAGCTGCATTTAAGCAATTGCCCCCTAGCTTTTTCGGCATACTGCTGAGCAAATTAATAAGCAAAAAGAACTTGGTCTGGGATTTTGATTTGCCCTGAGAAAGATTTTAATTTCAGCAATTACTTAATGCTAACAGAAATAAACCACTAAGCTGAGGTCTTTTGTTTTATTTTAAAGGATCTGCCAAGGGTTTAATGTTTAACCTGCAGTCCTCTTTGTTCTGATCTTTTTTTTCTGATTGTGAGACTTTGAAAAAACACCTTTGTCTTTTGATATACTGTATTGGGTGTAAATTAAATTAACAAAGGGAATTTATCTTTAGAGGCTTAGAAAAGGTTACACAACAATATCCATGGAAGCCCCGACTGAAGAAACAGAGTAGCATGTGTGCAGTCAAAGCTTGTTTTGTTGTTCATAGATTCCTCTATATTCATATTGTAACACAAGTAATTATTCCCTGGTTTCTCCCTGCTTTGCATACTACTAATGTACAGGTATCTGTATTACTTAATATATATGCTTAATACCATATCACCCTGCAACTCCCAATTGGCAGCTCACTGAAGCTCAGCAGGTGTGAGCCTGGTCAGTACCTGGATTGGAGAACTCCTGGAAAAAACTAAGGTTGCTGCTGGAAGAGGTGTTAGTGGTAGAAGCAGGGGGCGCTCACCCTGCAGTCTACGTGGGTCCTAATGCCCCAGTATAGTGACGGGGACACTATACTGTAAATAAAAGGCACCGTCCTTCAGATGAAATGTAAAACTGAGGTCCTGACTCTCTGTGGTCATTAACAATCGCGGGGTGTTTCTCGAAAAGAGTAGGGGTGTTACACTGGCGTCCTGGCCAAATTTCCCATTGGTCCTTACCAATTTTGTCCTCTTATTAATCCCCATCTATGTATTGGCTTCATTACTCTGTTCTCCTCCCCACTAATAGCTGATATGTGGTATGGTGAGCATACTGGCACATTATGGCTGCCGCCATGTGGGTGCTGCACATTGGTGGTAGTGGAGGGAATTCCCCATTACCTGTAAAGAGCTTTAAGGGGAGTGTCCAAAAAGCGCTATATAAGTGTAAGCAATTATTATTATTATTGGGATGGGTGGGAGGGGGCTTGAAATTCTGTTATGGAAAGGTACTGCTTTTAAAGAAGTAAATGAACTAGCTGTATGTGTGTAAAAATACTGTGGTGCAAAGTGCAAAGGATTCTTTTGTTGTTGTTTAGAGGTCTAACAAATCTTAAAATACTTTTTCTATAATCATATTTTTTCATGATGTTTTATTAAAACCAACTTGTAGTGCTTACGATATTTCAGTGGTTTACCAATAACAAGTAGTATTGAAGTATTTTCCTCCAGTACTTGTGCTGCATTAAATAATGCAAAACCAGCCTATTTTAAAAGGATGGGTTGTTTCTCCCTGGAACTGACAGTAATGCTGTTGTTTATTTAGTAGGCTGGAAGGCACTTTAAATGAAATTCTCTACACAGCAGGTATAAAAGAATGAAGCATACAAATTTTATCATTGTCTTGTTTTTACTTTGAACATTTTTCTTTTTTTTTATCAGTTGAGAGATTTTAATCATGGAATTTTAATAGCAAATCTCCCTAAGTATAGATGAGTGGTGTTAAGACAACATTAATATATTCATCCTTCGGGCCACTCCAGTCATCTGAGGTATAGACTGGACACATTTTGCCTCTTGGCACTTCTGTCTAGAACAGAATCATGTAAAAAGGAGAAAATAAAATCTCATTACCATATATTGCCTATTACATAAAATTTACGTTAAATTTTACAGTGTTGTACATAAAGAAATAAAGGGTTATATTTTGTTCTGACAAATATGGCCTAAGAAGACAATCAGCCCGCAACACAGTTAATAAAAAAATCAGTTAAAAACATGACAGGTTAGCGAGGTCAGACTAGTTCTAAAATCAGTCAGACAGCTGGATTCTGGTGGGCGATTGTTTAGATGGCTTCAGGACTCCATTGAACCACAGAGAAATTGATTTCAGTATTGTGCAGTGTACAATGGAGTCATGTTCCAGACCTCTCCTGACAGTACTAATGAGATGAAGAGAGATTCAGCTGTTGAACCTGCATAGTCTATTTTCATATTAACGCAGGTTTTTCATTCTGGTCAATTCCCAGGAGACCCATGAAGTCACAAAGCTTTCCACTACTGAGCTTCTCCAGGGGCTTTTATATGGTTTCTGCAAACTCTCAAACCTATACAACACACAGGAATAGTGACGCTTGAAAAAAATGTATCTGTAGCATCTAGAAAAACTGCTATAGGGAAAACATTTGAGCAGGTGTTAAAATAGAGTAAAATGTTTATACTGGACAAGCAATTCATGACAATGTAAGAAAAGGTGACATAAGAAAAAAAACTGTCAAAAAATCATGGCTTCTTTGGATTTCACAATGTACAGTGGGTATAGAAAGTCACCACCCCCTTTCAAAACGTGTACCTCTTGTTGTATGACACTCTGAAAATAAAAACAAATTAAATTAGGCTTGTTCCATTTTTATTTACACAAAGTAACCCAACAAGTGAAAATACAATTCTAGATCATTCTGAAAATTAATTAATATTAAAAACAGTAAAATACCTTATTTGGATAAGTGAACACCCCCCTTACAGATGCACTTGTAAACTTGCTCAGGTATAACCAATCACCTTACAGATCACACAACAAACTAATTGGCTCCCACCTGTGATCAATTGTGGTAATTTTGATTAGTTCAGAATAAAAGCAACTGTTTCTAGAGGATTCTATGGGCTCGTTCGGGATGGCCCTCATGAGCTCCTTCCAAGTGGGGAATGTAGAGCGGTAAGAGATGGTGTTAATGCAAGAGCACTGGAGCTCATTAGGCCATCCCAAAAGAAGTGGAGGGCGTATGGCACCAACCCGACCTTGCCTAGATCAGGTCTTCCCTCCAAACTGGATGACTGAGCAAGGAGACTGATCAGAGAGGCTACCAAGAGGCCGATGGCAACTTTGAGAGAGCTACAGGGCTTTATAGCAAAGACTGGTCATTGTGTTCATGTGATGACAATATCACCAGTGCTCTACAAATCTGGCTGTATGGGAGGGTGGCAAGAAAAAAACGAATTGTTGTTGTTTTGTTTTGCTAAAAAGTATGTTAAAGATTCTGTGGCCAAGTGGCAAAAGGTGCTGTGGTCAGATGAGACCAAAATCGAACTTTTTAGCCGGAATGCAAAACAGTACATCTGGCGAAAACCCAATACATCTTACCATCCAAAGAACACCATTCCTACAGTAAAGCACTGTAGGTAGTGGCAGCATCTTGTTGTGGGGGTGTTTCTCTTCAGCTGGGACTGGGGCACTTGTCAGGATAGACAACAGTGTCCTGTGTGTATCTGGAATGGTCTACCATCTAAAACGCATCCAGCCAGTGATAGAAAACAGCTTGTACAGATTGTGCAGATCAACAGACAGTCCAGTACAACATTGGTACTGAAATACCCATGAAAGAATACATAACTCATCACACCTTGACACGGATGGGGTATAGCGGCCAACGATCTTAAGGAGTTCCACGTCTTTCAGCAAAAATCAAGACACTGTGGTTGTAGTGCGCTAAAGAATGAAAACATTGGACACGGGAGGATTGAAAAACCATTGCCTGGTCTGATGAATCCCGGTTCCTGCTATTTCACACTGATGGTAGGACTAGGGTACGGAGAAAACCACGAGTCCATGAGTCCATGCGTCCATCATGCCATGTGTCAACATTGCAGAC